GCGATTCTCCGCCTCAGCCTCCCGAGTAGCTGGGACTACAGGCGCCCGCCACCACGCCCGGCTAGTTTTTTGTATTTTTGGTAGAGACAGGGTTTCACTATGTTAGTCAGGATGGTCTCGATCTCCTGACCTCGCGATCCGCCGGCCTCGGCCTCCCAAAGTGCTGGGATTACAGGCGTGAGCCACCGCGCCCGGCCAGCACTTCCTCTCTCTGCCTCCAGTGCTGAACTAACAGATGAAAACCCGGAGCTGTGGGTGCCTCTGTGGGTGGCTGTTGCTGCCACCCCACCTCCAGCTGAGAGTCTGCTTGGGAAAGAAGCCACCGTAGAGGAAGGTTGAGCCAGGTGATGGCTCCAGACACATTCCTGACCGTGTGTGAGCACCTGGAAGCAGCCCTACCCCGGGACTAAGGTGCTAATGCTCATAAATGCCATTTGTTTTGGCCCAAGCCAGTTTGGACTGGGTTTGTCACTTACAACAGAATTTGAACGAGAGGTGGCCGGGCACGGTGGCTCACGCCTGTCATCCCAGCACTTTGGGAGGCCGAGGCAGGAGGATCGCCTGTCAGGAGTTCAAGACAAGCCTGGCCAACATGGTGAAACCCCGTCTCTACTAAAAATACAAAAATTAGCCGGGTGTGGTGGCGCGCACCTGTAGTCCCAGCTACTCAGGAGGCTGAGGCAGAAGAATCACTTGAACCCGGGAGGCGGAGGTTGCAGTCAGCCAAAATTGTGCCACTGCACTCCAGCCTGGGTGACAAGAGCGAGACCGTCTCAAAAACAACCTGCAACATGAGACCCTTGGTTGCCTCCCAGGGGCCCTCCTCGTTTCCTAATACTGACAAGGAGACCACGTTGGCAAACACATATTGCTTTATTTAGTGTTTCTCTGGATTGCAGAAGTGTCAGCAGTGGGCTGAGACCCCCAGAAGGGCACAGAGGCAGCTGGGCAGCCCCCAGGCCCTTGAGGGTAGGGGTGGGGAGAAGCAGCAGAAAGAGGTGGTGCCCCTGCCGCTCCCCCCAAGGCCAGCCCTTCCCCGTGCTCCCATGCCAGGGAGGGGTCAGGGGCCAGAAAAGGCCCTACATCCTTGAGTGGGGCCCAAGTGTGCAGGCAAGCTGTCCGTCATCCTAAGGCCTGGACTCAGGCAGAGGCGCTTTTCCCACCTGGCAGCCCCCAGGGCTGATTGCTGGTCAAGGAGCCAACTCTGCTGTCAAGACATGACTGGGTTTTATGGGGCTCCCGGTCCCTGGGAGTGGCAGTGAGGCACTCTGAGGAAGGGCTGCCGTCCTGGTTTTGTGGCAAACTGCCGTATGACCGCGGGCAAGTGCCTTCTCCTGTTTGGGCGTCCGTCTTCTGCTCTAACATGAAGGGGCTGAGCTGGATGATCTCCTAGTCTTCCAACTTCTATGGCCTAAGATGTCCTTCCTCACTCCAGCACGGCCTCAGACTGCGATGATGAGGACAGGAAAAGGGCTTTTTTTTTTTTTTTTTTTTTTGAGACGGAGTCTCGCTTTGTTGCCCAGGCTGGAGAGCAATGGTGTAATCTCGGCTCACTGCAACCTCCACTTCCCGGGTTCAAGCGATTCTCCGCCTCAGCCTCCCGAGTAGCTGGGATTACAGGCGTGCACCACCATGCCCAGGTAATTTTGTATTTTTACTAGAGACGGAGTTTCTTCACGTAGGTCAGGCTAGTCTCGAACTCCTAACCTCAGGTGATCACCCCACCTTGGCCTCCTAGAGTGCTGGGGTTACAGGCGTGAGCCACCGTGCCCGGCCTAAAAGAACATTCTTAAGGCAGGAAGAAGAGGGCAGGCAAGCATGGTCTCAGCCCGCAGATGGAAGTCAGAGTGGGCTGCAAAAGGTGCAGATGGGCAGGCAGGGAGACAGGTAGACAGACAAGGTGCCAAGGGAATCAGGAGGAGAGGTGGCCTGGCCAGCGAAGAGGGCACCAGAGCCCAGCCCACCCCACCTCTCAGCTACATTCCTCGCCCTGCTGGGGTCAGGGAAAACACACCCATGTGCCCTCGGGTGGGAAATGGCTTTTTTAAAAAAATAGTTTCCTATAAAGCATCCAAAAAAACCTCAGAGAAAACCTCAGCAAAAGTTCCCTTCTCTCAAACATTTGGCATCGGCAGTAGGGCTGGCATGGCTCGCTCTGGCCCTGGCTTTGCTATTGCTGTGGCCCGGCCTGGCCCACTCCTGGGGTAGCTCCTGGCCCCTGCTGCTCCCTCAAGAGAGAGATGGGCAGGAGGTGGGAGACGGCAGGGGGGCTTTGGGGCGTCCCTGGGTCCCCGTCTGAGGGATGGGCAGGAGGTGGGAGACGGCAGGGAGGTTTTGGGGTGTCCCTGGGTCCCCGTCTGAGGGATGGGCAGGAGGTGGGAGACGGCAGGGGGGCTTCGGGGTATCCCTGGGTCCCTGAGGGATGGGCAGGAGGTGGGAGATGGCGGGTGGGTTTCGGGGTGTCCCTGGGTCCCTGAGGGATGGGCAGGAGGTGGGAGACGGCAGGGGGGGCTTCGGGGCGTCCCCGGATCGCCGTCTGGAAGTTTGAGTCTTTGGTAATTGGGAGGGGAGGACAGAAGCAAAGCGCTGGGAGCTGGGAGTCCAGTGAGCGCCTCTATCACCGGGAATTCAGCCTGGGAGCGACCTGCGGGGCAGAGACATCAAGTGGTGAGGGGGAGACGGGGGGCCCCGGGTCGGGGGCAGAGAGACACCCAAGTGGTGAGGGGGAGACGGGGACCCCGGCACTCAGGCTTTTTTATCCTTTTTATGGAGAGTGGGGTCTCACTATATTGCCCAGGCTGGTCTTGAACTCCTGGGCTCAAGCTATCCTCCCACCTCTGCTTCCCTAAGGGTTGGGATTACAGGCGTGAGCCGCTGCACCCAGCCCCAGCGCTTACATTCACGCGTTTGAGGCAGGCAGGAGTGGTGGGGGCCTAGTGGTCTCCATCCTGGAGATTCGGACCTGACTCCCACAGGAATGCCCACCACCCTGGCCAGGGTGAGCCTCTCCTCCCTCCTGGCACCCCCCAATCATCCCGTATCTTCCCTGCATTACCGTGCTGCCTTTTTTTTTTTTTTTGAGACAGGGTCTCATTTTGTCACCCGGGCTGGAATGCAGCAGTGAGATCTTGGGTCTCACTGGAGCCTCAGCCTCCTGGGCTCAAGCGATCCTCCCACCTCAGGCTCCTGAGCAACTGGGAGTACAGGCGCCCGCCACCACACCTGGCTAACCTTTTTGTATATATATATATATTTCTGGAGACAGCGTTTTGTTCTTGTTGCCCAGCCTGGAGTGCAGTGGCGCAATCTCAGCTCAACGCAACCTCCACCTCCCAGGTTCAAGTGTCTCTCCTGCCTCAGCCTCCCGAGTAGCTGGGATTACAGGCATGCGTCACCATGCCCTGCTAATTTTGTATTTTTAGTAGAGACGGGGTTTCTCCATGTTGGTCAGGCTGGTTTCGAACTCCCGACCTCAGGTGATCTGCCCGCCTTGGCCTCCCAAAGTGCTGGGATCACAGGTGTGAGCCACCACACCTGGCCTTTTTTTTTTTTTTGAGATGGCATCTCACTCTGTTCCCCAGGCTGCAGTGCTGTGGCATGATTTCAGCTCACTGCAATCTCCACCTCCTGGGTTCAAGCAATTCTCCTGCCTCAGCCCCACTACCAGCTGGTATTACAGGCACACACCACCACGCCCAGCTAATTTTTGTATTTTTAGTAGAGTCGGGGTTTCACCATGTTGGCCAGGCTGGTCTCGAATGCCTGACCTCAGGTGATCCGCCCTCCTGGGCCTCCCAAAGTGCTGGGATTACAGGTGTGAGCCACTGCACCCGGCTTTTGTATTTTTTTAGTAAATGGGTTTCACCATGTTGGTCAAACTGGTCTCAAACTCCTGGCCTCAGGTGATCCGCCCGCCCCGGCCTCCCACAGTGCTGAGATCACAGGCGTGGGCCTCTGGCCTCAGGTGATCCGCCCGCCTCAGCATCCCACAGTGCTGAGATCACAGGCGTGGGCCCCGCGCTGCCACCTTTACAACTTTCTGCACTGAGGGGCGCGAACGGCCCCTCTCTCCAGCCCTCGTGGGTGGGCCGGCGGATGGAAGAGGTGGTATGATGGCCTCTGGATTAAGGCCCATGATGAGGTGCCCAGACTCTGCCCAGCACAGCCAAGGAAGGCACAGCCAGGCCATGAGCGGGAAAGCAGACCCCACTCACCACAGCCAGGTGCCCGTTCTTGGCCTTGGTGATGAGCAGCTCCGAGCCGGGGGTGAAGTCGATGGTACCATCCCTGCCGGGGCCCCCTGCAAACGTGATGCTGGAGGAACGGGGTGGGTGAGGGTTTTTCCATGGAGACAGACCCCCAACTCTAAGGTGGGCCCCCGCTCTGTTCC